TTCTGTCTTTTGTTTGGAACTTGGAAAAAGAAATCCTGTAAATTAAATAAGGAGTAAAGACTTACTGCACACATTTTTTTGACCGAAACAAAGATATTTCCCTACCTCCTGAGGTATTAATGAGAAATCTGGGATGAATAATGCATGGAGATCTTGCCTTTTAAGCTCTAGTGCTGTGCAGCTATTTAACTCTCTTGCAGAGCCCACAGTGGGATGGTAACCAGCAGTCACGAAGAGCAGTTGTTAGGGCCACAAATCGGGATTCATTTGAAGAGGTGCCAAAGAATGCACAAAAAGGCTGGGGTTTGTGGTGTGATACTTACTAACCAGATGTACCAGCTAGATTGGGGAGGGAGGGGTGTTTGTAAATATATGCAAAAAGTTTAAATTCTGACCCATGACCACCCTGTAACTGGGTGTCAAATTGGTCTCAGCTAAGTGAGAAGCTTCAACAGTATGAGAGAGGCTACTCTTGTTTTGATCTGTTCCCTTAAAACCTTCTGGATAACTTTTCAGCAAAGATTTCCACTCTAAGACATTTGTCATGGGTATCAACGGTACATATGTATTAATTTTCAGTGCAACTAGGGAAGATACAGAATTGTAATGAAGTCACAAAGTCTACTTGATGATTATCACAGATTTGTAACTCTCACTTAAATTATGTAAGATATGTTGACATTTTATCTTGTTAACAAGATGTATTTTTCTATGTTAGTTAAATGTATAATTTGTATAATTTTGTATATTAAATGTATGCATATTTTAAATTAAAAACTTCATAATTTTAATTATTTTTAACTCTAAAATGGTGGTGGAGCTTCTGAAGTATAGTTGTAAATACAACTGTATCCCTGGATAGCAACCCAGAAAATCTCCATTTTGAGCAAGGGGCCACCTGGTCTGCTAACAGGGTAAGGAAACTATTACTCCTGAGCTCTTGCTCCTCTTGGTGGAGGAGCTGCCATTCCACTTTTGCTGATTTAATAGAAGTAATATGAATTAGCAGAATACTATGGGCTGGATCACTGCTCAACAAGTGGGAAACCTGAGCCTTCCCCAGCTTGTGGGCTTTTGGATCCACGGTTCCTACATGTCAGGAGACAGCCCAAACCACCAATCTACGGGATGGACTTTTGTGGGGGGAGGAGGACACTGCAGCCAGAGATACAACAGTCATGTAGAGCAGAGAGGGAGGCTGACTCAGTGACTTAGTGACTCAAGTCACTCCTCTGGGAGAAAGAAGACTTGAGTCTCTCTCACATTTACTCCCTTTGGGCTGTTCAGGCCTTTTTTGTCTGATGATTCTGTTGTAAAATGCACAATAGCAAAAACAGCTGCAAAATGTACATTGCATATTCTCTGAGCCCCTGCACCAGGGAAGTCCTGTTCCAGCTCATGATGTTCACACTGTTGCAAGAAGTGTTCCAGCTACAACTGGAGCCAAGCTGGTAAATGATACCTTTCTTGTTGGACTTTTGTGAAAGGTTTTTGTTGTGTGAAGCTAGCATGCCTCTCAGTTTTCTGCTATCTTTCATCTAGTCTATTTGGAATATAATTCGTCATTGATGCTATACCGATATAAAGATTAAAGGTCCTATAGGAAGAGGGTGCACTTTCGATCAAGTTCTGTCCCCTTTTCATCAAGCTATGTCAAGACAGGATGAGATGCAGTGTCTGCAAGAGAATATACCAAAGCAATATATTTCTCCAAAACTGCATATGTGTTTTTAGGTAAACTAGCAGGGTGACAGGGTATCAGGCTGTAACTGGGTCTGCTTCTGTAGCACCTAAAACTGCAATTTTATCTCATAGTGAACAGAAGAACAGTATGCATCTGTTGACTTAGAACACAGTTTTTAATAAACTAAGGGCTACAATATGAAAAAAAAAATCCATTTAAAAGCAAAGAAAGTCTCTGATATGATTTTATGCTTATTACTAACTTGAAAGTTTAATGCTATTTTCTAAAGCATTGATTTGACATGTTCTGAGTCTTGTGCTCTCCTTATGTATTAGCATTAAGATGAATGTCCTAGCTTAATACTGAAAAAAATAGCATTATTCTTTGTTATTTCAAAAAACTGAGCAGTTCTAGAAACCTGAACAATGTTATCTAACTAGATCCCAAGTGTAAACAGAGTCCATCTTTCTTAGCTTTATGGATGTTAAATAAAAGATGGTCTTCATTCAGCAGATGCATGCACTATGTACAACATATTGGACCTACTATGGGACCATCAGAAATTTTTTTGGAGGTTCAAATTAATCTCTTGATTGGAAAGAAATATCTCATAAAATGAATAATTTTTCCAATACTTATGAAGACATGCAGGTCACACATCACACTCCATACCACCTGCATATGTCACTAACTATCAGGGTTTGATGTCCTGTGGAGGAACAAATTGACTTTTTTTTTTTCCCAACATGATCAATAAAACTCAATGTTACCATTATGAACAAAAAAAAAAAACAAACCAACCCCCCCAAAAATCAGTATTTGTCTACATACAAGAAAAGAATTTTAAGGAAGCAACAAAGCAATGTCCTACAAGCTATACTTATTTTTCCACACACCAGTGAAACCTCCATATGATATTAGTGTTAATGTGGTAGCAAGGTTTATTAAGTGAGTTGTGGAATCCTGGGCAATATATGCTCAGAAATGTCAGTCATGATGCTGCAACTACTAAAATCAGTATGTTACTAACCAATGATCAGTGAGCTTTTGACTAATTCCCTAACTCCCCTCATGCAAACAACACACAGTGTTCCAGGGCATTCAAGACCGGAGGTACCACTGCATTATAACAAATGCAGAAAAGAAAGATGTTTTCCTTTGATGTGTTTTGGCAATGCTCAAGTATGTTACATCACTGCTTTTTACATGGTTTTGGTCCAGGGGTAGTTAGTTGTTCATGAGAAAGATGGTTATCTGGACTTGCTTCTGATGAAATCCCAGGGACCTCTGTCTTTAACCTCCCGCTTTTCCTGATCAATTTATAACTTGCGATTTTTCTTGTGCTGGGACCACCACGCATGCCTGTGGGCCATAGACAACAGTGCTGTGTGGCTGGGCGTGATTTCAAATGGCATAACCATGTTGTACATGAGCAGTAAACAGGTCTTGTGATTGACCCACTGCTTCAAATTTGCGTAGTCATTTAATCAATCTCAGCGCAGTTTGTTCCAATATATTATTTCAGAGCAATGGACATGTTCCTTATGTAACTGCTGGGGTATCCAAGGCCTGTCAGAATTGTCTGAGATTGGCTCCATGTGCAGGAGAGGAGTGTCCAAGGTTTTGTGGTTTCAGTGGATGATCTCCTCAGGCATTGTAAGACAGGTAGAAGTGTGAAGATGGACTTTCTGAAGTGGGCTGTGCTGAGAGTTGAGGGTAACACATTCTTCACCCCTCCTGCTTTAAGAAACCCTCCTTGATTTTGGGAACTGGCATCCCTCACAGTGATCCTCCGCCTCAGGGTCCCGTGGTTGCCCCTCGTTTGCCGAAGCGAAAGCCAGGCGAGAGCCGGCCAGGGCCGCCCGGCCGGGGATGCCGCCCGGGGTGCTGAAGGGACAGCTCCGCGGGAGTGCGCC